AAAAATGGGGCGGAAAGAGGTTATCATTAATGCGACAATTATTATGTTATGACGTATCGGGAAAGCATTACAGCTTTTCTATATTCATCTAGCATTTTAGACACCGTAAAACAGCTCCCAAAAATGTAATTGACTGTTTTAAAGGCCCACTGAAGTCAAAAACGGGATATTTGAAGGCGTCCAATCCAGGCACTAATTATCAAATTTTTGATAGAAACAATAATAAATTTTAAGCTTTGAAAGGCTGCATCGCAAAAATCACCTATCTATAGCATATAATCCGAAAGTCAACCTACAGTGACCCTCCCAGCCGACCAGCTCATAATGAATAATGAAGACTGAGCCGCCATGGCCCACCCTTTGTGGCCATCACCTTTTTCTTCAATGATAAATGTCCCCCCCTCCAGCTTCTTAGCCCCGCCCCTCGCGATTGATGACTTCAATTTTCAACGCCGGCTGGTGAGCGGAATTCCGCCCAATTCCTCTGGACGCCGCTAAAAAATGCAGATGAGAATTTCAAGGAGGGAATCCATCATTGCTTCGGAGGCCACCACGAGTTCAATCGGGTTACGGTGGATTTGGTGAGATTAAAGGGATTTGGAGGGTGAGGTATCGGAATCTTAATGAGAAAAAACGGATATTCATGCAAGAAAATTACAGTTAAAAGGCGAGCAAAATCAGGTTGTCCCAAAAGATTTGGGCAAGCTAGCAGAGTTTCTTATTAATCAGAGTGACAGCTAGCAAAGATTCTTAAGTCAAAAAATTTGACTAACGCATCTTGGTTTGAATTGAACCCTATTTACTTTGGTAATATCGAAACACCACCAACCGGAGCGCAAAATCTCATAAAATCTAATATGAGAGAACTCTGCCCGAAAAAGGGCACCCAATATATAGGGTTTTCAGGAGGCCCACCGCCCCTTTTCCGAAATGGACGGAGCCTCACAAATCCGCACCCCGCCCTTCTGCCCCCTTATTATTATACCCCCCATCCCTGAGGATTTTGAAAAACGTGCGATCCGGCTGGGTTGAGTCAACGGGGTGGGGAAATGACGAATGAACCCCCGGGGAGAAAGGTTTCGTATTTGTAAAAACTTTGAAAACAATTGACAGGGAGACGGAGTGATAGAAATGATAGGCTTCTGAGGTGTCCTTGATGACTCGGATTGCTGAAATTGTCTGGAACTTTTGAAGTGTTTCTACAAAGGATTTTTGGTGCATTCCTGCTCTCGCACGCGCACACTTTCTCTCTCTCTGGCTTTCTCTGGCTCACTGGCTCTCTCTCTCGCTTTCTCTCTCTCTCTCTCTCTCTCTCTCTCTCTCTCTCTCTCTCTCTCCTCTCTGGCTTTCTCTGGCTCTCTGGCTCTCTCTCTCTCTTTCTCTCTCTTTCGCTTGTTGTCTCTGTCTCGCTCACTCCCTCTCTATCGCTCTCACCCGGCGAGTACACTTACCATACCACTCCCACTTCCCTTTAAAATCTGTTTACACTCCCAATTTCCGGGCCAAAAAATCAAGTCGACGCCATTTCCTCAAAACACATACACACGCCAACCTTTCGCAAGTCCATTCTAATTTACCCCAATTCCCGCACCGATTTTCAATGCAAAATACCCTAATTTACAACTTCTTCCACACCGCGATTCGTAATTCGAAAATACCTTTGTGTCCGAGCCGGGCCCGAGGCGTCAATTGCATTTTGTTGCCTTGTGTGCCGGGCCGAATGGGGGAGCATGAATTTTTGCCGCCACGTTGAGCATATTCCCCCCTGAGGCATCGGCATCGGGACCCTTGAAATGGGCACATCTCATTCCGGGGTGGGCCTCTAATTCCGCTTCACCCCTTCGTCCCCATTTCCGGGCCATTCTTTGGGTACGTCGAATTTTCGATTTGCTGCGCGGGACGGGCTGGCATATTGCCAATTTGGTTTAGATTTGTAAAGGGGGGCAATTGGGAAAAAAATTGGAAGGGAAGGTGCTGGACGTGGTTAAGGAAAGTTTTGGCGCTCGAGGGGGTCAATGAGAGTGAGAGAGACAGAAAGAGAGATCGAGCGTGAGAGACAGAGCACCAGAGAGCGAGAAGAGCGAGAGAGAGAGATAGAGAGAAATAGAGCGAGAGAGCGAGTGATAACTAAAACGCTCATTTTCCTGTCCACTAGTTCCAGTATCTTACCCCAAAATTTCAAAAATCTCGATCGAAATGGGTGTAGAATTGCACTTTCTATAATCAGTTTTGTGTGAGGCTTCTGAATCTAAACGCTTTTTACCTGTGCACATTTGAACCTCTACAGTTGCCGCGATATCAGCGCCTTTTCAGTGGTTTTTCAGAAAACGACGCCGGTTATTTGGCTAAAGATTGCAGCAACTAGCGTTTGATGACAATAAAACCTTTATAAAGTTTCTCGCCCAACTTGATTCTGTAAAGACTTAGTGTTACAAACTTTTTGTGTTCAAATCTTACCTTTGTAATTAGGGTTACAAGGCGAACACTTGCTGTAGGCTTCCTCCTAGCCATGGAAGTTATAAACTAAAAAAAAATCAATGTAGCAGATACGATCAACACCTTTCATAATTATTTTGTTGTTCTTAACCTTTTTTTATCTGAAAAACAGCTAATATCGCCGGGGGTGCATGCGGGGCCGTCGTCTAAAGCGCGCCCCCTCTGCGCCCCCGACTCGCACGCCACCTGGTCGTCCCCGATAACATATCCTCAGAGCGCCGAGGGGGCTAGCTAATCATGCGAGGTAGTAAAACCGCTAATGATTCTGAATCGGGAAAGCGGGTCTATGCCCGTCATTTTAGTATATTTGGTATCCAATTTTTTTTAATAAATAGAGGAAATCTTTCTAAATTGTTTTGTATGCTTTCTAATCGCAAAAAGCTTCTAATTTTTACTAAGAAAATACAAAACCTGGGTTTTTTTGAACAAAATGACGATTACAGACCAAAATTTGGTATAATTTTCGTATTTAGTATCCAAATTTTCTATTGAGGAGTGGTTTTAAAAGGTTTTGTATAGTTCCTAATCGCAAAAAGCTGAAAACTTTTTGTAGACCATTAATATGCACAGCCTATGATATTTGCCCCTGCCCCTCCTCCCCTGCAAAACCCTAAAAATTTGAAGTTATTTTTGCTGTCTGCCCCACGACGGCCATCGAAACCCAAAAATAGTAGCATCTTTGGCGGCAATTGGCGAAAAGTAGTTATGCGGCACCACCTAGCCCCCGGAAAACATGCCATAAAAATTTTATCGCTACGCATCTCACCCACGGCGAGGGCGCTAATTTCTGATGGGAGATGTGTGGATGAGGAGGATGAGGAGGACGAGGAAGAGGAAGATGAGGTCGAGAAGATGGGCGGAGAGGTTGAAGCGGTCGGCTGGAAATGACAAGGTGGAGGACGAAATGGACACGCTATTCTACGACATACCTCTACGGGAAAGCGGGGGTCGAAAAAAGAGCGATTTTTATCGTTGGAATCCCGTCATTTTCACACGATGTAGGGTGAAGATGAGACGTGAAGCTACAGTATTTATTTCGTTGGCGACAGTAATGGAAATTCGGCCTTCTTTTTCTACGCCATAGTGAGCTGCAACATTCTGAAACCCCTCCTCCAGCCCCTTCCGCTCCTCCTAGCTCTGCCGGAATCACCCTGAAATGTGCGTACACGATTGGATTAACTATAATTTGATAGAACTAACCAGAAAATTAGAAACTAGCATAATTGGCGTAGCTTGGAATACTGTCGAGCCGAGTGCAATAATTCGAAAAAGGATAAAACGTATAAAACAAATAAATTCTAGAAAAAAATGGAAATCTCTAAACTTTAGCTTTGCATCCTAATTTGCCTGTTATCCTAAAATCGGATTAATATGGAAACCTCTAGATGCAGATTTGGAGGTAAAAAATCAAGAAAACGATGCGAACTGCCAATGTCTAATAATTAAAAATACGCCATAAAAATACGTTACATTCACACACATTACATTGTAACCATTAACGCGCAGAAAAAAAATAAAGACATAAAAGAAAAGCTTTAAGAAACGGCGCCACAAAACGGTGGAGCAATAAATCAGTAAAAAGCCGCGCTCAATCGACCAGGAGTTTGAGCTGAACTGTGACCGGTCAGGGATCGGAATTGCTGATGGGGAGAACCGGCCGGACCACTGTTATTTCGAGACAGTGATGTGAGATCACGGGAGAAAGGAAAAGCCTTGGGGCTGCTGGATTGTCACCCCGCCAACACTGCCAGCATCACACAAATCCCATTTTGAACCAAGCCGGAAGTGGATGCAAATCGATGCGAATTCCAAAAACAGCTGAAATAGCTGACAAAATGGCTGAACGATTCAAGGAAAACCAGTTTTTTCGCTGTAACTCGAACACTACTGTAGCCAGGGGGCTGTAAGCTAGGATTGTGGTTATTGGAGTCTGTTACAGTGTCTCTGCTAGCTCCTGACAACCTAACCTTCACCATTAATGGTACCTCTGCTGCAATAAAAGTGCACGATGGGGTTAGATGATGGTGTCATCGGTCTGTGGTCCGAGCTGTGCGGTGCTTTGGATCCGGTTCAGAATCAGCTGAACTTTCTGACTTTCTCGCTCTCACTCTCACTTTCGCTCTTGCTCTCTCTCGCTCTCTCTCTATCTCTCAACCCGCATCAGCAAGAACCGAACGCGTGTGCCCTGAGGCTATAAACCCAAGCTTCTCGGGGGGTGGCTTCGTAGCAGCATTCGCCCCCTTCCCCGGTGCGTTGATATAAATACCGTCAGCACGGATTTTATTCAGGGAACTACTTTAGCTTGCTGAAAAGGAAACGATAATCAGGTTAGTGCACTTTAGAGTTAAACAAGTAGCAGAGGGCAAGCTAGCAGATTTTCCTTGGCGGCAAGGATACCCCAAAAATACTGAGCTTTGGAACTCGATTAGCAGTGCTTTTGGCGACTCGTTTAATTTATATTTTTTTTCAGATATAAAAACCACAGCTGTGAAACTTGAAAAACGATGCTCTCCTATCGACAGTACTGCTTCTTCGTGTTGACATTATTGTGCTTATTCGGATTAATAGAAGCACAATAGTAAGTTTTCTAACTTTGGTTTCTATTGGGTTTAATGACCTAGGAGTTTATGCTACATAATCATGGCTGAACTTTAAAAATCGAGACTGAAGTTCTAATAAATTTAATTAAGACGACGGGCATAAAAAAACTTTATAAAAAAAAGTCTTTTTTTCAGCGGCTATAACCGATACGCCAGCTATGGTCGCTATAACAACAACTACTACCCGAATCAGTACTATGGACGTCAACAATCCAACTGGGGCTACAATCGAGGGGGCTACGGTAGCTATGGTAACTACGGTAACTATGGAGTGAATCGTGGATACTATGCACAGCCCGCTGGAGGTGGTCTCTTCTCAAGGGGGTTCGTCTTTAAAATTTTTGTACGTAGAAATAGTTGTATTAAAGTATTTTACTCGATTATCTAGACCTAACAAAAATTTAGGAGTGATAATAACATTTTTATTTTCAGCCCCAACCCTCAAGGCTTCTTCGTCTTCTGCGAGGGCAAAGCTTGCCAGGGCCGGAATTTCCTGATGGGATAATCAGCTTTAACCCAGCTTTAACCATGACAATGACTTTAATAAATTATAAAATTTATGCAAATCATAGCCCTTCCAAATCGATTTATTAAAAAATGCAAAAATTGAACCCCAAAAAATATTTCATTCATTGAAATTGGTTGTACGCCGACGCGGGTACGCTGTGATCCTGCTGACGCAGAAGTTTCGAGTCAATTCTAAAAAAAGATCGGTTATATTCTATTATTTTACTTGGAAGCCAATTCAATCAGTATATCCTTACTTATAAACCAATTTCTCGTATTTATCCCACGGCATGACGGTGAGGGACACGGTGCGCGGGGCGTTTTCTAGCACCTGGGCCACCTCGGCTGTCTAAACGGTTGGTAGTTAGTTGTAGTGTGGAGTTCAAAGGGCCTACACAGTACGCGATGACGCTAATTCCATCGACCTCAACGATGGCCTGGTTGATTGTTACACCATTTTTAGAAGCTGACGAGTCGGGCGTGACGGCGTTGATTTTGTTGTCCTAAAGATCGGGACTTATAAAGGGGTCTAAGGCGGTATAAAGGGGTGGTGACAGTAAGAGCTGGCTTGTTATCATTTTCGGCGACGCAACACGCAGGGCGCAAGCTCGGCTTTTCATTGTGTTAGCTGTTGCGGATACTTAAAAGCTGTCAAACGGCGTGTGCGTTGTGGTCGCGGTACTGCCAAAATTATGCTATCAAAAATCCATAATAATGCCTTGCCCGCTCCGTGAACGTTAAAACCGGGTTCCTTTTTATGCTCATTTTTACTCACCCGATGCGTAAATCCCAGCTTCCCATTTTCATCTTTATGCAAAGTGATTACTCGGCAGAACGGTCTGAAATTAGTGATTTTTATTATCATCATCGTTAACATTAATTATAATATCTTAAAGCAAGAATATTTTTTGCAATAATATCTACTAAAACTAACCTGTCCCTAACAACCATCAGCACCCCTTCTGTCAACGGCACCTTTTCGATTAGCTGCATTGCCTAAACAGGAATCGTATGAAGTTAAAGATTAAATTCGAGTAACTTGATTAAAGAACACTAAATAAGTTAAATTAAAATGCCTTTGCATTGCCGAGCCCAAACACTTCTTTGCCGCCAATCTGGAGGATCTGGTCGGCAAAGCGGAGACCTTGATGTGCGGCGGGCGATTCTTTGAGTACGAACTGGACGAAGAGGCCCTAAATATTTTGATTTAATGTAATTTGCTCTAATATTAATGATTTAATAAATCCTAGAAAAGGTGGCTGAGAGACATACCCGATCGATTTCCGTCAAACGCATTCCAATTTTGCCATCGTGTGCCTTGGGTACGTAGATATTACGCACGCCGTGATGGAGGTTGGCCTGAAAAATGTACAAAATATAGGTAGAAAGTCATAAGAAAAATACAGTGTTTTACTATTTTAAAGAAGGATTGTAGTCACCTGTTCAAATCCAGGAGCCAGTCCCGTGATGGGTGCGACGAGGGAGCTGACACTGTACGACAGGGCCGGCAAGTTCGGGCGCTAAATGGAAGAATGGATGGATTAAAAGACTACGATGAAAGGTAAGGTATCAAAATGTCAAAATATACCTCCAGTAACGGTCCTCGCTCATCGTACGAAATCGAATGATTTAGAAACGGGGTGCTGGCCGAGGTTTCTTAAATTATACGCACAGGTTTTAATGATATGTGTAAAAAAGACGATATAATCAATAGTCATACTTAGCTTAATATATATTGTTCAAACATTTAGATTGTTTAATGTTTTTAATAGATATCGCAGATTTCCAACCTTTACTGGAAGTCGCTTCTTCGTTCAAGGATGGATAAAGACTCGGGTAGTCCAACGACCGCACGGACACCGTATCCGCCCGCGAACCGGCCAATTGTGGAGCCGATGGCTGAGCGAGAGAAGCCTGTAAAATTAATTGTACAAAATAAAAATTAATTCTTTGAATATTAACCTTCCTTAAAACCGACCCTCATCGTCTGGTCCACTACCATATCTTCAAGCGACGGGTAGACAAGCATAATGGCAATTTGTAACGTGAAATTTTGTAGTTACAACCTGAAATCAAAGCTTTATTAACCGATCAATATTCAATCAAAAAACGGCCCCCGAATTATAGAATCAATCGGTTCAAAGGTGCTGCGGGCAGCGAAAAATTCTTATCACAGGGAAGACCCCAGGCACGAGAAGGAAGGGGTTATTGCGAAAACATACGGGGATTATGGGAGCCAAACGGAACATGGAATATATTTTGTTGTAGTGGAAGAAAAGGGCGATGGCTGGACATTGCGGAATTAATTTTCAACCCGGTGAATACGGCAAAGAAAAACTCTTGAGCGAGGAAATGTCTGGAAGGGGTTTTGAAAAACGCTTAAAACTATGGGTATTTATTTCGGAAGCTCTAGAACATGCCATAGACAAACCATCAAATATTTTTGCGCTCTTTTCGATCAAGAATGGGTTTAATTGGACGATTCTAACCTTAAAAACCAGCAACTTAAGTTAAAAGCCAAACCGGCCTAACACTCAATCAAGTAAAGTTTTTAGAAAACTCCGGGCTCCAAAAATCAAAAATGCTAATTTTCGGCGTTTTTTTATGTTCAAAGATCGGAAGAATTTGTGTATCCGGTTAATATACCTAAAATTGTTTCGTTCTGGCTGTTGTGATGCTAAAAACCGCTAGAAAAGCCCAAAGATTTCAGCGAGTTGTATTTTTTCTTAATTAATTATTGTTGATTTTCACAAATCAGTCCTATTATTAGTTCTTGTTACTATAAGTTAGCCGTAAGTCGCTTTACCAGCCTGATTTCATCGCGTGGGGGGTCCAGTGGGAGAGCCCAGTGAAGCGTAAAGCGGGCGTTTCTCCGGGACCACCCTATCGATCTCATGGGTGGTCTCGCCGACCTACATGACAAGGCAACAAAAAAGAGGGAGGGATTATGTGTATTTATAAGCCTTTATTAATTTCCTCAAGTGTATGATAGTTATGGCCAAAATCGAGGTATCCATAGGAATCGATAGAACGTTCGATTTCACGATATAGTGTGCGGTGTAGTTGTTGTGGGGTGGGACGCTTAGTTGGGTCTAATTCCCAGCAGTTGCACATCAGTTTCCAGCTGAAAAAAGGTAGGTTGCTCCCTATCTCTCTTCCTCTATCTCTCTACCTCTTTATCTCTCTCCTCTCTGTCTCTCTCTCACTCTCGCTCTCTCTTGCGCTCTCGCTCTCTTTCTCTCTCGCTCTCTCTCGCTTGCTCTCACTATTTCTCTCTCTCTCTCTCTCTCTCTCTCTCTCTCTCTCTCTCTCTCTTTCTCTCCCTCTCTCTGTTTCTCTCTCTGTATCTCTCTCTCACTCTCGCTCTCCCTCTACTTACATTTTATCTCCGACTAATTCCGGCCTCTCCAACCTTCGACCATCCCTCAAAAACTTCAACACTTGATCAGGCTGTATCGTCGCATAAGGCTGCTGTCCCAGCGAATAGATCTCAAACAGCAACACTCCGAAGCTCCACCTGAACACTAATTCAAGGCTTCCGATCTAAACCTACACATCCGAATGTACCGAGAATTCATTGCGTTCTAATGCCTCCGGGGCAGTCCACTTTACGGGCAAACGACCACCACGAGCCAGGTAAAATTGATCATTGCTAAGACGGCAAAGCCCGAAATCGCCGAGCTAAATGACGACAATTATAGAGAGAGAGAGTGAGAGAGAGAGTGAGAGAGAGAAAGGAAGAGAACACAGCAATTCTATACTATCAAACTACCTTAGCGAATTTGTTCCCCGTCAACAACACATTACGAGCTGCTATATCCCGATGGATCAATTTTAGAGATGATAGATACACCTTAAGTAATTCCCTATTGTACAACCTTTTCAAAATCACTGACCAGAGCGTCGCTGATCTGCCACGCCATATGGGGCAAATCACCGAGTTCAAGCAGTTCGGCCTCCGAATTCTTGAGCCGTCGCAGTTCGGCTAACAAATCCCCATGGTCGCAAAGTTCTGAACGCAATTTCAGTTTTTCTATATGGATTTCGAACCCATGATGATCAAAGGAAAGCTGGGGTCGGTCGAGCAACCGAGCAGTGTCAATAGGTGTGGGTGGAAACCGAGCTTTTTCATGAAGGCGATTTCGCGTAGAAATTCTTGTCTAAAAAGGCTCTAAAGGGGCACGGACACCTAGAGGAAGTTCTAAATGTAAAAAATTCAGACCTTTCTTCAAAATTTGCTTGCAGCGGAGGCATTTTCACGGCGACTGGGTTCCATTCTTGAGCGTACTGTTTGAGAAGCTGAAAATTGGAAAATACGACATAAGTTTTGATAATTTCTACTTCTAAAGACATTTTAGCGAATCACAAAAGACAGATTTTTGCTCCATTTTAGAGGCTCTGAATTGCTGAATCCATATTAAAACTGCGAAAGTCAAAAAACACTTACTGACGCCGAATTTGTAGCTGCCACAGCTGGTGGTGGCCCATGAATCTTCCCTTGATAGACAACGGCATATGCCCCGGACCCAAGCTTTTCCTCCCCGATTTTTAGAGCCCAGCGCTCCACCTCCCACTCGTCGACCTCTTTCACGCCGCCTCTGAATCAAATAACAAAGAAAACGTCTCATAAATTCATAAAGTATACAATAGCAATAAAATAATCAATTCACCTTTGCTCGCTTGACACCTTCTTGCCGTAATAAATCGACCCCTGATAGATGGAAGCCTTCTTTGAATTTCCACCTCCAAAACAGCCAAAAATAGGGCTAACACAAAATTTTTACAAATTTCATACAACCTACCGTTCTTTATAAAACAATCGTCGGATTGTGCAAAAAACGGCCAGTGCGGAAATGACCAATACAACAATAATCAGGCAAAGGTAAAGCCATTTTACACCCGTATCGGCTGGCTTTATAGGGGCTAGAAAAATAGGAATGTTTTTGAATCAGCATTTTTCATGGATTAACGTTAATTTTCATTTTTAGAATTTAGTTTTAGGTTATTTAATTTATTCAGTGAATAAATTTTCTAACCGAGAAGGTATTGCCAATTCCTTTAAAAGGTTTTAGAGGGGTGGTAAACCGGAACCGTACCGATCGTGGGTTCAGTCTCGAAAGCGGGTACTGTACATTTCACATCATTCGGTAGGCTATAATTGTTCGGAGCCGGGCACATGCCCAATTCGAAGATGAGTTCTGTGGAATACTTCCAACTCCCAGGCATTGGGTGCTAAAACGTGGCCCATGCGTGCTTACTCCGATTCGCCGTACCAGTCCAAAATTATCGGAGGTAGTCAGAGAAATCGAGCATATACTCGGGTCGCTGATGTTGGTTTCCTTCAATAAAATTAAACTCAAGAATATAGAAATATAACGTAATAAAAGTTGTTACGTAATAACGTAAGAAAAATCAAAAATAGAGCGCACCGATATCCAAATCAATTGATACGGTCGCTCCTTCAAGCCAGAAAGCTCTTTAAAAAACGATACAACCCTCGAGAAACGACTTTCTGATGTCAGCTTCTCACATGGAATATTGGTCACTATATAGACAGCATCTCCATCTGAAATTTATATATAAAAATCATCATTTTTTCAGCACCTGTTTGAATTCCGGTCGCACTAAAATTTTGTAGGGCAACGGCTAGTGTTGTGGATGGGTCGAAACTTAAACTTGCTGTTACTTAACTTAAGCATTTCATTTTTAATTAGCAGTAAAGTGTGTGAAAATTACACCAAGATCTCGCATACCTTTGGTTTTCTAAAAACAGACTCTTCTGAAACATTTCATATCGTTCTAACCCCGTAGAATTCATATAGCGAGTCTCGACAGAACCATCCGGCGTTAAATACGTCAGATAGCTATAAAAATAATTTTCTAAATGTGTTTAAAGGATTACCTGGCTTTTTCATCATACTTACAAGTACATAAAATATCTTCAACAAGAACGATCAGCTGCTGATAGCATGTGTAGTTTGTCGCTTCATCAAGTAATAACACCAATTGTAAATGCCATGTGTTACAGCCATTGTTTGAATTTACACGAGAGTCGACTGAAAGGTACCAGTATGCATCAACGCCCTCAACTTACCGGACGGACAACTCGAAGCCGCAGAAGTGAATAAGATACAAAAAACAACAAATTGGAGCATATTCGGGGTCTTGCAAAAAGAGTATTGTGTTGGTCAGGATGCGTCGATAGGCGCCAATCGGATTATGGACACCTGCAACTTGCCAAAAGGTAGATTAATGGATGCGGGGTTTGAAATGATGATACCGTAGTGAAGCAGGTTGTAGCAACTTTGGTTTTAAGCGTATATTACAGCTTACAACATAGACGTAGCTTCAGGAGATTGCGCTTCAGTTTAGGCTCAGCTTTCGACGTAAGGTTAGGCCAGAGGTCAGCTTAAGTTGTTCATGAGCCCGAGCTTGGGCTTAAGCCAAGATAAATCTAGGTTACCCATGGTTTTTAAGCTTTTGATTAGGCGTGGCTCATTAAGACGTGTAATTTCGATACATATCTCAGATTTTCGATAAGCTGTGAGTACTGCTATAGTCGTACTGAAAAGTATTATTTCTTCGTCGCTCCGGAGGCATTTTTGTTTCTTTTTCTGTCCAATCACCCGGCGACCATTTCAACAACCGATAATCCGCACATTCCTTCAATGAGCGTTCTACCAAATTCGACGATCAGCCCGACCATCAGATTAATCGACACATGGCAGTTAATGAGCTTTCCAGGGTGCCGGCCAGCTTCTGATAACGAGCCAAAAAGGGCGCAAAAAAGCGGCTGTTCTTTGAGACCGGCTGAAGAGGCTGAACCTTTGGGGTTTTTAAAGAAAGCTTTACGGTCCGATCTATTTTGAAGCGACAAAAGTTGCTATTTAAATTTTTATTTTGGTTACCGAAAACTGTATTTTGCTTTATTTTTGTTGGCCTTAGAAATGCAACGATAAAATTGCAATCATGGAAGGACCGGAATCAGTGTTGACCTATCTATTGAAAAGCCTCGAAAATATTTTCGCGGCGGCATCAAAAACCAACAAATACCTCCCCCTTTCCATGTTTCAAATAGTGTAAAAAATATCTGCGCTTCTCTTGATGAGTTTTTGTCAATTCAAATGTTTCTTTTATTTTTATTGCTTTTGAAGCGCTTGATCATAAATCCGTAAATAATATTAAATTATATGAATGTTGCTACTGAAAAATATTCAGCAAGTTGGAATTTTGCTAGAACATTTAATGATTTTATTGTTTCAAATTTCTAAATTTTTTATGTCGTTTTTACATTCTGGATTTAGCTATGGCGCAGCTCAAGCGGGTCGGGTTTCTCTTGGCACTTCTGGGGTTTGCTATATGCCAAAATGCTGTTAATGACGTTTATATGTGCGATGAAACTAATGCCCAGCATAATTGGTAAATTCTAACTTTTATTGAGCATTATTTTTAGGTATATCTATTGCCAAGGTCCGCTCCTTGCAGCGGCACAACTTCACCAAACGGCCCTCGGCCATAATGACTCTAAATATTTTGTCGATATGCCGTTGACAAAGTCGCCAGGTTAATTATTTCTTAAACAAAGCTTAATTTAATTTAAGTTTAATTACATAAATACTAAACTGCATTTTTTAGAAGAAACCCGTGACGCCTACGCTAAACAATTTGGGAACGATACGCACGCTATCGACGTAGAAGCGTTGAAGAAATTTATTGCTGAACATTTTGCGTAAGCTTACGATATATTCCAAATTTTCACAATTTTGTAAGGTGTATACAACTTTGAAATATTATAGCGAGCCCGGCAACGAAATGACGGAATGTACACCATCCGATTGGACGGCAAAGCCAGCCAGCTTTGACAAAATCATCGACCCCGACTTGAAGGAGTTCGCATACGATTTGAACGACATTTGGAAAACGCTGTGCCGGCAGGTATGTTTAAGATATTTTTGGGTTAAAGTTTTTTCTTAAGATTAAAGGAGACGTGAACGCAAATCCATCGCAGTACTCCTTGCTCTACGTTCCGCACGAATTTATTATACCAGGAGGGCGATTTCGCGAATTCTACTACTGGGATGCTTATTGGATTATCAAGGTTGGTTCGAATTGCTTTTTTAAAGGGACTGGAAAGTGCAAAATCTACCTCGGCTGGCGGCTGCGCGCGACAACAAATGACGCGTTTCATACGATTTTGTAGTCTCTCGTAACTTTTGAAGCTTAGGGAAACCAAATATGTCAATACTTTTATAGCTTTCTAGTCCCTTTAAAACGTTCCCTATAGGGTCTACTAGCCAGCGAAATGCATCGAACAGTCCGAAACATGATCGACAACCTGGTCTATATGGTGAAAAATCATGGATTTGTACCAAATGGAGGCAGAGTTTACTATTTACAACGGTAAGAAAAACCTTCCTTTTTCAAAATCCAAATTCCAGATCACAACCGCCTTTCCTGATCCGGATGGCATTTGAATACTATCAGAAAACAAAAGATCTCGCATGGTTGAAAAATAACATCGACACCTTCGTGCAAGAGCTTGAATTTTGGAATAAAAATCGGGCGGTTTGTTATTTAAGAAAATGATATATAGATTGATTTAGTATATAAATTCTAAAACTTTTTAGGTTGATGTGACAATAAATAACAAACCTTACACTTTCTACCAATATCGACCTACGAGTAATACACCCAGACCGGAAGGGTATCTTCATGATATTCAAGCAGCTGCTCAGATTAATGGACCATCGCAGAAGACGTATTTACAAGTAATGCATTAAATTTTATTCTATTCAATTATATAAGACTACTTTAAGAGGACTTAATTTTAACAAATTACAACTTTAGAATCTGGCAGCAACCGCCGAATCTGGCTGGGATTTCTCTACTCGTTGGTATAACGACTCGCGCACCATGGACACCATCAAAACGACAGATGTAAATTGTTTATTATAATTTATAATCATCGTTTTTCAGATCCTTCCCGTCGACCTCAACTCCTACATCTACTTAAACTACCGTATCCTGGGATATTTTTATAAGGAACTGGGCAACGCAACCCAAGCCGAGCCGTATGAATCCCACGCTCGAGTTGTCCGGGGTTGGATCCGAGAAGTTTTCTTTGATGAAAAACTTGGATCATTTTTCGACTATCACCTAGACACCAAAAGGTAATTTATATAAATCATCTGGAATTAGTATTTTTAGCTTAAACACACTTTTCTACGCATCCACAGCCGCTCCACTCTTCGCTGAAGCTTATGATTTGTTGGATAGCACCCTGCCTAATCGAGTTCTGCAGTATATGAAGGTTGTAAAGGATCTATATTCCCGAAACATGTAGCCTTAGTCCCAACACGTCTTCGATCAACCAGCTGGGGTACCTACTTCGTTGATAGTAAGGATTTTTCTGGATCAGTAAAAAAACGCTTTAGAACTCCACGGAGCAGTGGGATTTCCCGAACGGATGGGCGAACCTTGAGCACCAGATTGTAGAAGGGTTGCGGAAGTCGTCGGATCCGGAGGCGCAGAGGATGGTGGGTGTGGTTAAAGCTATGAGAAGCGCTCGGATCGACACGTTTTGTCGGCTAGGTGTAGACAGCTACAAGGCGCTCCAAAAGACGCTTAAAATACACGCAACACTTGGCGCGTTGTGCAACGCGTATTTTTCTGGAAGTTATTGTGACCTACGCAGAATAAGGAGGGTAGATTTTTGCGTTTTATAGCTCTTAGCTTTTTAATCTCACGATTTAACATATACTTTGCAATTTAATTAAAAAAAATTTTACAGTTGAGTTAAAGTGAACTGCTGTAATCTCTATTTAGGCCTTTGACTTGGCGCAAAAATGGGTGGTAGAAAACTTCATGACGTGGAAGTTGACGAAGGCAATGTGGGAAAAGGTATTTTTTTTTTGCTTGTCGACAACGAATTTGTCGCTATTTTGATTATTCGAGTTGTTAATCAAAATTTTGCCAAGCGCTGTTTTAAAAATTTAATTTTTAATTGTATGATTTTAAATCCTATTTTTACCAGTCCCCAAAATCGCCACCCAACCCTCGGTGTCTCCAGCGAGGTCGTATCACAACGTAGAGGATGGGGTGGCTAATCGGTTGTGTGTCTCTATGTGGGGGTGTCTCGAGTCGTCTCTCCTACCGTATCCGTGTGCGGGGTTGTTAATGGATCGTCAAGGTCTTCCCTCCTCGTCTCGTTGAATAGATGGTGGGAGCAGGGAGAATGGGGGACAACCGATTAGGCGGTTATCCGTTGGGTTGGGCGACGATGTCGAGTCGATTAGCCCTCGTTTTGGCGCGCACACCGGGGAGTTGAGAAGGTGCGGTGAAGGAAATCGGGTATTGTGGATAGCATTTGGAGAACATACGTGCAGAGGAGTGTGTCGTTGTTTGAAAGGAATTATCGACTTCGGGTTAAAGGGACTAGGAAGGGCGAAACTTGACCTCTCACGAAATGAGATCGTCACAGTTTCTAAATTTAAAGTCAAGGTTCTAAAAAATTAAAAAATCTAAATAAAACCCGAAAATCGACTCTACTCCACCTGGGTCTCGACAACTACGCGTCAATCAAAAAATACGTCAGATGCGCTAACACACGTTTCCCGCGCATCACCTTGAAATTGCGCACCTGTGCCGGTATTCAGGTCGCTCTCGTCGGACTGTCTGTCTCTTTCTATCTCGCTCCCTCGCTCCCTATCTGCTATCTCTCACTCTATCCTTATCTCTCTCCTTATCTCTCTGTCTCTTGCTCTCTCCTCCCCCCCCTCTCTCTCTCTCTCTCTCTCTCTCTAGCTCTTTTTTGCTGTAGCTGTAAGTAACGCGACGGCAACGACTGTGAAGCCGAAGTGACATAAACCCGTATCTCGACATATAGCGTATTGGTTAAGTGCGAGTCTCACACCGTACTACCCGAGTTCGAATTTCACCCGCAACAAACCTTTTTTTGCGCTAGATTTAGGGATTAACGCTTTTCTACCAATACAGTTTGTGCCCATCCCGCTAATCCCTTCCCCGACCATTTCATCGGCAAACATATGTCAACGGAAGGTGACCAGGTGGATGGGCCCTCTCTCCTTGGACCCCTCTTTGGGCCCTCTGGGCCACCACACCTTATTGGCAACAGCTTGTCCGATGATTAACGGGGGCCACCGCGAAAGCAACATGGGGCCCAAAAGCACGGCAGGTGTGTGGTTCTCGTCAAACAAAAGGGGGTACCGGGATAGGGAGAGGCCGCACCATAACTAATTACAGGGCAAAACGGAGGTGCCGCATTAGCTTCTTAGCTGGGCCGGGTAGGGGTATTCGGGTGGGTGTCACATGGCGGGTGGGTTTGGGAGGGTAAGATACGGATTAGTAGAGATTTGTCGGGTGACGGAATTTGGTGGTTAAAGGAACCGAGAAGGCAGGAGTATGGATTTTGTGACTATAGATTAACCAGACATTTTATTGCGCCCGCAATACGCAACGTGCAAGCGTTCCTTTACATTGCTTGATCGGTTCTGAACGCCGCGCATCGCATTTGCTTTAAAAAAAACTATAATGCTGCCTTACGCGTCCCTTTAACGCTGAGCTTTTGCTTGCACCTAACCTCCGATAATGCCCCTATCAGAGGAATTCTTACTATGGATATAAACTACAATTAGGTAGCTTTAAAAATCGCTGCGGCTATTTTAACGATGCCTTATAAAAATTTTTAAGTTGTTTGAAAGAGAAAAATGGATCCGAATAGAGAAAATTAGCAAAAATCAGCTTTTTTACAATAATTACAAAAATTCGAAAAAAATGTGTAATTTATGACAATAGCTTTTTCTTTAAATAAACAGAATATGTATTTTGTTGGAAACGCTAATATCGATAAATTTTGGTGCGCACGTATGCACCATACAGTTTCCGAAAACCATTACGTCATGTAATGGAGGGGTGCGGTTCGGTTCGCGGCGCGGCAAAATCTGTAGACCTCCATTCCCGGTCCCTTTAATATCCAAACAACACTAACCATACCCTTGCCCGCTCCTATACTATACCATCATTTACCCAAACGACCTCCCCCATCGGTTATTTGAAGAGAGCGCCTCCCTCCTACTCGGTACTTAGGGTCATCGACGTGGATCGGTATGTTCCGCACCGCTCCGATCACTTGACACCATCCATTCTCTCGCACGGTACTCCCCTTCAAATGAATGCGCCTCCCCAGAATGGTTACCGCAATCACTTGGTGGCCTCGTTTTTCGCCTATTATTACCCCGCACCTGGCGTATTGTGCGGGGTACTGTGGGTGGAGACATGGAAGGAATGGAGAAGAATCGAAAAACTAATCGAAAAATTGATATGTAACACAGTAATTTTTGGACAAATTTCATGGTCTCTTTGACGAGGCGGGCAGCTTGGTACTGGACTGTTAGCGGGCGGGGGGGCTTTTAGCAGACAGCAGGCTTTCAACAGCTTTAATTTTTGACTACCGGTTGATAGGATATGATGTATTTTATAGTATTTTGAGTTTTTGATTGCTAGAAACTTAAAAATTTTTTAATTGTTAATTTTCACACATTTTTGATAAAAAAGTTTATGAGCTATGATACCTAAAAGTGTAGAAAATACTACAAATATTAGTTGCATTTCATTAAAGGACCGTGCGGGGCTACTTGGTAAAATTTGGTAGCGCGTGCTAAAAATCCCCCCCCCCCGCTAACAGTCTAGTACCTGCCTCTGAAAGAAGCGATCATACGACGAATCAACCCGCCGGGGCAAAAAAGTGCGTGTCGCGGCTTACTAAAATCTAGAAAAATGTTGTACCTATAAAATCCCTACTCATCACTTCTCAACCCCTTTAAGTTGTCATAATTCCCAGAGCCACCCATCCATTAACCACACCCGCGAATTGGCGCACTTGTTAGCGTGTCGAGTATTATTTGATGAGCATCCGGGGATGGGCCACAAGAATAGGTGGGGGCCCTAAGTGGGCCCAAATCAGAGCCACAACACAGGGATGACCCGGGGCCAACTGCCGGGGAGGGGTGGCATTAGCATTTCAACGGAGGGGAGTTAGAGTGGGGATGTGATTACTGTAGGGAGGGCCGGAAAATTAACTTATTGTAATTTCAGTATGATGTATCTGGAGGGGTTCCACATCCTGGGCATGGAGGATTGTATGACGTTCAGGTTGGTTTTTGGATTAAAGGAACGTTGAAGTCATGAAAATCCATAGAAAATTCATAGCTTTTAAAAAGAGGTCCTTTAATATGTAAACTTAAGGAAAAATTATAGGTTTAAAGATTAAAATTATGAGTATTAAAATTTTAGCTCGGTTTCGGCTGGTCCAATGGGGTCGTGCTGGACTTGTTGATGACGTACGGCGATCGGCTGGTGATCCCGAGACCAAACCCGACGAACGCCTTGCCGACAACGACGCAGGCCGGCTCGAGCCTACCATTAATGTCGGCACTCCTCATTTTGTGTGCTTTCCTCTGGGTTAATAAAGAGTGAAAAGTAATATATGAGAGGTAAAAAGATGAAAGGAGACTCCACACTGCGAACAGTGGGAGTCTTAACAGGCCGAAGCCTGCGGAACCCCGAAGGGTGTGAACTCGCAAGCGAGCGAACGGCAAAGCCGTGTGAACCAAACCACAAGGGAATGGCGGGTTGCTCTAAGAAGAGCTAAAAGAAGAAAAATGTAAAGTGGGTGCCTGTTTCGACCCTTATCCAAGACAGGCTAGTTTAACATCAGGGTGGGTCTCCTCAGCTGGATCCCTGATGTTTTCTAGTACAAAAGGTTAAATTTTTTAGGTATAAAGTATGGAATTCTTAAGTTTAATTTGGAATTAGTGTTTTGGATGAGTTTTAGTTAGTTTTGTTTCACTTCCTTTGGAATTCTCTTTGATTTATCGGATGGCTCTATTAGCACGATCAGCCGTGAAAAGGCTGTGTCGATAGGGTGGGTGTGTAGGCTAACGTAACCGAATGGGTGGGTTGTTTGAGAAGGAATAACTAATTGAAGAGAAAAGAAATGAAGAAAAGGTGAAAGTATAATAAAAGAGAGCTATTAAAGTATGAGAAGAAAAGAAAAGGTTTATGAAAGCGTTATAGGTGTTATTTTTAATTTGTGAATCAAGTTTTTACCGCTAGTATCGTATTTTAGGCTGAGTCCTGGGTGTTTTTTCATAGCTTTACTGCATAGAGTTAGTAAAATTTTACGGGGGTAGCCATTTTTAAGTAAGTGGGTAATTAGATTTTGTAAATGTTTAATACATGTATCTAGATTAGTACATTTCCTGGCTATTCTGATGATTTCGCCTTCCACGCAACCATGTTTGATAGAGTATGAGATGTTAGATGAATAGTTAGGCATGCGTGTAACACTGAATTGATAATCGTCTACCTTATTGTATAATTCTGATTGTGCTTTATTGTTTTCAATGTAGATTCTAAGGTCTAAGAAATTACCAGATTGTGGTGTCTGATTAGTTTGTTCAAGTGTAAGTTCTTTAGGATATATTTTACTTAGTAAATTTTGTATATTGAAGCCATTTTTATATAGAATAAGAATATCGTCCATATATCTGTGACCTACCACTTCTTCTGTATAATTATCTTTAAGAAATAGATATTCATAGTAACTAAGGGTAAGATCTGCTAACATAGGGCTGCAGTTTTGACCTTGAGGTATACCTAATTTTTGCTGAAATAGTTGTTGTTTATATGATACAAAGCTATTATTTAGAAGGTATTTAACTAAATAAATAATTTGGTTTTTATTGTAGGTATTATTTCCTCCGTCATTGGTGTAATAGCAATTTTTGTATCCTAGTTTTATATTGGGTTTTTTAGCATTTTGGAAACAGACTTCTAGTATACCATTAATAGCTGAGTTAACTATGTCGTGGGGTAAATTAGTGAAAAGACTACTGAAATCAGCTATATATATGTTATTTTTATTTTCATTTTCCAATAAATTAACTTGATTCGAATTATCAATTGACCAATATACTTTTTTATTAGTGAAATTAGTGATAGCTAAGCAATATCTTTGGAAATGTTGCCTTATAAATTTTAGTATTTGATGAAGGCATACTGATATTGACTTTATAGAGCTGTTATAGGCGCCTGTAATGAATCTAAACTTAATTGGGTTCTTATGGAATTTAGGTAGGCCATATATTTTAGGTAAATCTGGTGTTTCACCTAGTTTAAGTTGATATAATACTTGAGTATTTAGGTGTCGTTTAATAATTTGGTCTCGATTTTCACATGTATATGTCTTATAGGTTTCATTTCCGTTAGGCTGCCCATTAATGTATCCCATTTCTTTATCAATAAATAGTTGGTAGAGTTGTGGGCATATAATTGCAAAATTAGAGGTAGCTTTATCAACACTAGTAATGATGAAAGTATTACGTAAATCTCTAATTTCTTTCCAATTTAGTTCAGTAGCTTTAGGAGTAAGATAAGATGAGAGAATTATAGTTATTATGTCTTCCGATATAGTTTTAGTATCATAATTTTTAATAATTTTAGCTATTTCTTTTTCTAATTCTTCAATTATTCTTTTTCTATGTTTAGCCTCATATGGATTAAGGATTGGTCTATATTTGGTGCCTAGTTTCAGGATTTTAGATGTATCAGGGTAGAATTTTGTAAGGGTTTCACTGTCACCAGTTAGAATATGGGTATGACCGTTATATTTTATTGTATTTAAGCTGTTTTGATAACGATAACAATGTTTACAAACGTTCCTAGTATCATTTATGGCATTGTTATCTAGTTTATTAAGATATCGGTTATAATTAAAGAATAATTGACCTAGCGTAGGGTTGTATTGATAAGTTATTTGAAAGTCGTTATTAAATGATATGTTATTCTGGCTAAGATAGGTTTTTAAAATCTTTTTGACATTAATGTTTTCTATTTTAGGTTCAATGTAAGGAATTTTTAGTCTAATTTTGGGATGTTTTTTAGTTTTAATCTTAGTCTCGTTATTAGGTTGTTCGTATTTATGTATAACGGCTTTAGCAATAGCTTTTACATTCGGATTATGATGATCTAAATATGGCATGAATTTAGCGTGTAATTTCTTAGGTAAATTATGAGTAAGTGTTCTAATGTTATTTGGTTTCATTTCTGTAATTTGAAAGTCTTTAAATTGAAAATTATCAATTTTAGCTTTCTTTTTTCTCTTTTTATGACCTCTATCTCGTGGTGGGGGTTGAATTTTTAAACAGAAATAAGGAGCCTGTGTTTTATATTTACCATTAGGATTAGATATAATGCCATACCCCTTAATTTTGTCATTAAGACCAAATGGATACGCAGTATTTAGTAATTTGATCCAATAAAGTTCTTTATCTGTCCGAATTTGATCATTTTCGTTTTCTAAGTGGTCATCTAGTATATGTATATAGAACATTCCACTGGGTTGTCCATTAGGGTAATGTTTTTTATAATGTTCATAAATGTAACTAGATTTATGTTTCTTAATGGAATATTTATGTCCGTACATACGTTGTGTAACCTTGCATGAAGTTTCGCCTACGTACTGGATATTGCATATTTTACAAGTAAGACAATATACTATATTTTTAGTTTGACAATTAGCGTAATTATGTAGGTTTGTCCTAGAATAATAATTTGTAGAGGTGCTATGAATTAATGCTTCATATTCTAGATCAATGCAAGTGTTGCAATTTCGTCTATTACATTTACTACCAACTTTATCGTCGAATTCTTTGTTAATAAATTTTAGTTTCCTACCGAGTTGAGTGGAGGTGTGCTCTGATTGCCCGTAATAAGGGGAAAGATATGGATTGAGAGGAAGAGTACGTCTGATATACCAATGGGGTCCGACGTTAGAATTTTTTTTTTTTTTTTTTTTTTCCACATCCTGGGCATGGAGGATTGTATGACGTTCAGGTTGGTTTTTGGATTAAAGGAACGTTGAAGTCATGAAAATCCATAGAAAATTCATAGCTTTTAAAAAGAGGTCCTTTAATATGTAAACTTAAGGAAAAATTATAGGTTTAAAGATTAAAATTATGAGTATTAAAATTTTAGCTCGGTTTCGGCTGGTCCAATGGGGTCGTGCTGGACTTGTTGATGACGTACGGCGATCGGCTGGTGATCCCGAGACCAAACCCGACGAACGCCTTGCCGACAACGACGCAGGCCGGCTCGAGCCTACCATTAATGTCGGCACTCCTCATTTTGTGTGCTTTCCTCTGGGTTAAGGAATAAAAATATACATAGACAAATTAATAAAATCATTATACCTTACTAATTATTACTTACTATACTAAGTATTTACTAACAGTTTGAAAATTACGGGCATGTATTTCATTAATGTTTTAAAACCCAAGGAGATTTATGTACACAAAAATCCATAACCCCACCGCTAACTCACCAGTACCCTTTCTCGTAACCTATCCTGTACCAACACTACTTATACCTAACTTATCTAATCCAAGCCAAACTCAGAGGATTATCCAGGCTGTGTGCGGGCGATCACTTCCGGTCCCCTACCGTACACATTGTGCATACAGACAAATAGTCCCGTGGGTACATTGACCATTTTTGGGGGTGATGTACTAGCCGGGGGTCTCTAGTTGTTAGCAGCTGGGATTAGGTGAAGTGGATGGCTCGCAGATTGCTACTTGGGCCCTGGAGGGTAGCAGCGGACAGTCTGAGGACGGTAGCGTGGTGCGTTTGGTTGTATTGCTTCGCAGTAGATTTTTGCATTCAGGTTACTGTAAATTGTCAATTTTGCTAAAATTTTAATATCTAAATCTTTCTTTTTCGTAGTTCGAATTGTTAAATTAAAATTAAATTTTTTATTTCTGACATTTGACTGCCATGAAAAAAACCTAAAATGAGATTAATTTAACATAATTTCATTAGCTTAAATATCACAATTAAATTTTAAATATATCTTTTGAAATCTGGATGTAAATTTATTGTTTATCTGATTTTTTCCAACCCCTCCAATCTTTCAATGACTTAAGAACATGCATATCCATGATGCGGATCTGTTCTCGCCCCCCTATAGTGAACAGCTGTCGAATATCCAGTGTCGTTGCGCAATGGTAGCCCCTCCGTGGCAATACTGTTGACTTTTGAGACTTTGGAGAGAAGACCATGTCCAAAATGGGGGTCTAATCTGTAATCCCGGACACTTGGGCAAATAGTTTTAGGGGAGTGATTGTAGCCATTATTCTGAAATGCGCTTAACGATCTTAAAGAACTTGGGAAGGCGCGTTTATGGATTTTTGGAAGCCCGCGAGACGCAACGCTCGGGAGCCGTAGCCGTAAATTTAGTAATTTTAACGTATATTTTTGAATTCTCGAAGATTTCCTGAATTACAGTAAATCCCTGCCCTACAACTCGCATTACCGGAGCTGGGCTGTAGATAATTGGGTATAGCTGGGGGCCATTGGCAGACAAAAGCGCAGCCTCACTCAATGATACAGGCAGATCGGTGTTGTTGATGACAATG